CATCTATCGATTTGTTGTCAATTAGCAGTGTGGTTTCTTTGCATTAGGTTAATAATGGAGAGGTCTAAGGCTAGCATTTTGATTTTCGGCCTTTTGGCTAAGTGCTAGTGTGGTAAGGGAGGCTAGTATATTACCAGCTTTGGTTATGGAAGAAATCCCGTTGCTTATGATACTTTTTATTCCTTTCATGAGGTTTTAAAGAAAATTCTGATCTGATTTGCATTTATGAGATATACAACATGTTCAAAACTGAAAAATTATACTGTCTACCGCTTCCCATTGACAGAAGTAATGGTTTCATTCTTTCTATTCATTTAAGTGCCATTTTGTGCTTTTTTTTTTTCCTTTTTAGTTTCTGTCGTAGTTTAGAATTTGGGAATGGTTGCATATGGGGCAGAAGCGTAAGGCCATGCATGATCTTTTTGGTCATGACTGGAAGGCGGAGGCGAAGGTAGTATTGGCTTTTCTGCTAAATTTTTCCTTGTCCATATTTGCCATTTCTCAAGGGTGTTTCTGCACACACCATGTGGTCGAGTCAATTTGACTGCAGAGAATCCAAAGGGCCATATCTGTATTCTTTGGCTATGTAGATTCCATATGAAAACTTAATGCCTTTCGTTTATTGCATGTCAACCGAAATTGCTTTCAGTTTTTATTATATCATAAATGAAGTAGAGGTCAATGAGTTACAGACCACTGTTGTTTGATATGCAGTGGTCAGATAAGCTTGTGAAGCTGGAGTTCCAAGAGTTGGTTATGTTTCTTCAACACCTTCCGACAGATAACTGGACTCACCAAGACCTAGAGATCGTGCTTTCAAGAGCGTTCGTGTGGCATAGTATGTTCAACAGCTCCCCTAGCCATTTAGCCAGCTAAAACCAACTTGTAATATTCACTTTGTATCGGCAGCTTTCGAGTTTTGTCTCCTTTTCTTTCTAAATTCCTTTTCTTTGTGCTTTAGTTCGTTTTGTACAATTGGTCTCTTATGGTGGAGGACCATGCTCGTATATGCATCCGGTGTCTCTAATATTTGTATTTTCAAGCATTTCTTTGTCGATACACCTTTTGATCAATTGAGGAAAAAGAAAATTGATGTATTTCTATTTACTTCTTATTTATTTCTTAGACGAAGGTGAGGAAATTCGTGGCCTAATTCAACTACAATTGTTAAAAACTCAGGCTTCAAAGAGTTTGGGTAGAAATAACTGAATCCAGGCTCCGAAACTCCAGGTTATGAACTGGAATTCGACCAACTTGTATCCGAAAACTGACCAATTCTCAACCAACCAGCGTAAATGGCTTCAAAGTTTTGGTGTAATTTTTCTTCTCGATACAAAGGAGACCGAACAGAGAGGGAGAAGGGAAAGGTCGGAAATCTGACATTGCTGTAGAACCATATATGGTGAACAAGATATGTAAACACAAACTTTACTACTAGGATATGTGCCACAAGCCGTACTAGTTCCACTTTTCTTTAAACAAGATCCCTAATCAGAAGTATGGACAGTGCCCCAAATCCAGAGAAGTATTACCGAACACCCGCATGTAGAACAGAGACAGAAACAGCGATGTTGAGCCATTTGCTTTTGTTCCTCAGATGTATCTGGCAGCTTTCGGTAACTGGTTATACCGCTGTTAACCAACCCTACATTTGCAGTCCCCTGAGTGAAAATTGTTATACAAGATTGAGTGATCTCCTCCCCTGCCATGATAAAAGGAGCAGTCAGATTCTTAATAGGTCAAAACTAAAAATACCTTCCCGATAAAATTATGATCCAAATTGATGTGATTTTGTCATTTGATGTGAGTGGTGAGAAATTTAAGGAGAATGAGCTGCCCGAAGATTTAGCTTGTGAGTTGCCGACCAAGTACATGGCCATTCCAGCTGCTGGAAAGTCTATAGCTGTGAAACGCTATGATCAAAACAGACATAGTAGTTGGATTATGAGAGAGTATGGGGTGGTGGATCATGTACAAAGAAATTCTCCATTGATACAAATGTCATCCCGAATTTCCGAGTTGTACAGGTTATTGGGTGCAGGGCTGTATGACCATGGAGGGAAGACTGCAGAGTTAGTCTCTCATGATCCTAAGAACAGAAATGAATTTCTAGGAATTCATACAGATCCAGGTATTCATGCATTGAATATTACACGGAGAGCCTAGGTTTACTCGATAGAGAGGGTTGATGAGCATTCCATGAATTAGGAGGAAAGCAAAGATATCATCGCATATATAATACTGTATAAATCCTTAATTGCTATTATATGTTCAATGAGGCATGTAGACCTTAGGCGATACCCTAAGAGATTACTAAATAAGGTGCTGATTAAATTATAGTGAAGGTGAGAACCTAAAGTTTGAACACTTACATGTTTCCGTTCAACTTCTTCAAAAAATTTCTCAGGAGAGTCTACATATTCAGCACAATCTTGCTTGACAGAAGCCGCCCAATCTTCCTCTCCAGCCTTCTCAAGGTTTCTAATCAATATTGTAAACGTTAATTTATCTGGGGCACAGCCTGATGCCTTCATCAATTCATAGGTCTTCATTGCCTTTTCCGTCATGCCCACTTGTATATAAGCTCCAATCATCTCAGTGAATGCCCTTGTGTCAGGTTCTAAGCCTTCTTCCTTCAATCCAGAAAAAAGCTCTTCCGCCATTTCAATCAGTTTGTTCTTCCCCAGCAGTAGGATCATGCTACAGTATAAGGAGAGATCTGGCTTATACCATACTTCCTCCCGCACAAATTTGAAGACCTAAAACCTGAATCCAGTTGAGATAACATAGATAATTGAAAAATACAAAATGCTCAAATATTATCAACTTAGTTAAACATTATGAACAAGAACATTATGAACAAACTAGGTCACAACTTAGTTAAACAGCTTCCAAATTGGAGTCCGAAGTTCAGAAACTGACAAACTAGCCATTACCAAAAGAACAAGGAACCACCAGAAATTCAGATGGTTACTTGCAAAGGTACAAACTATGAACCGATAACAACATGCCCTTTCAAAATAAATAAAGTTCCCTACTTGGTTGAATGAGAAGGCAGAGTTGACAGCTAAGGACTTGTTTCTATTTCATATTTGAAAAAGACTACTTGGCTGCTATTTCTAAGAAAATCGGAAACTGTCTCTTGGAAACACTTGAGGTCTACCAATTTTCTCCTTTATTTCACCCCAAATAAAGTTGTCGAATAAGGACTTGTGAAGTATTTCTCAATTGAGAAGCTCTCTTACATTTAGAAGATCGTAGACATAATTCCTTGCAAAGATGCATCCTTAGATAACAAAACTACGCATAATTCATATCCTTATAATTAGACTTGTATTAACAAAATATACTCACAAAAATAAGTGTTTCATTACTTACTATCTGATTAGAAGAACAAAATTCATTGAAATCATAGACTGAAAATACACTTATCAGTGTGAACAAATCCATTTGTGGTCCTAATTTCCTCAAATTTCATTTCATTTCCGCAGAGAGAACTTTATTACTTAGTTCCCAGATCCAAATGCAGAAAGAATATCGAACCTACTCTCACGCATCACGCTATTATATACAGGGTCAGTTTGGAATTGCTTCTGGAAGTGTTCCAACAACCAAAAAGAGCTTATGGAAGAAAAAGCTGAAAGTGCTACTGGATAAACGCAGCTTCTGAACAAACACCTGCCAGATGCTTTAGATGTTTCTTCAAAAAACACTTTGGATTCTTAATAAAATGATCAAGGTGTTTCAAATTGTATAACTTCCAGAGTAAGTGCTTATGAGCATAAGTGCTTTCTAAATAAACAGTCCCAAAAGAGTCTAAACTTGTTCACGTCCACCACTATTACGAACCCCATATTGAAGAAAAATTAGGCCTACCATTTTCATCTCGAAATTTTGTAAATGTAATGCAAGAGAAGAAAAGAAAAGAAGAGAGAGAGAGAGAGAGAGAGAGAGAGAGAGAGAGAGAGAGAGAGAGAGAGATGAGAAACCTTGAGTGCTAATTGGACTTCATTTTGTCTGTGCAACTCGGCCAAGGAGTCCAACAAGTCAGCTTTCAAGAGCCTGGAGAGTCTTGCATCAAAAACCTCCTCGAGTTTCGATGGGGTTGATTTGGCAAGCTTCAGAGACTGAACTGCCTGAATGGCCTCGGTGGAGAGCACCCTTGACTTCCATAGAGGCTTTCTCGGTCCCCCTCTCAGGCCGCCACAGACGGTGGTGAATTTTCGGGAAGAAGAAGAAGGTGTTGCGGATAAATAGCGCAGGTGGTTGAGTTCTGGGTGATCTTGTTTCAAACCCAGTTGAGGAACGTGGAATTTCAAACAACCCAATGAACCCATCACAGCAGATTTCATGAATGCTGTTGGATGTGGATTGTGGAGTGAGGGTTTTGGAAGCTTTGTTTTTCTTTTGCCACCCAGGCTTTGGAAGATTAAATAAAAGAGAAAAAAATGTAGAAATGATTTATCAATTTTAAGCTAATTAGATCAATGTACTTCAACTGAGATTTCATGATTATTGGTCTTTAACTAATCAAAACGTATAACTACGATATTTTTTGTCAATTCTATCAGAATTTCGTAAAAAAAAAAAGATCATGTTGGAAGAATTATTACCACAATTAAATTAAAATTGAGGGGTCGTTACTCTAATTAGATTAAATTTAAGGGACTATTATTCTAACTAGGTTAAAGTTGAGAGACTATTACACTAATTAGTTTAAAGTTAAGGGATTATTTCTTCAATTAGTTTAAAGTTTAGGACCATTGCTACAATTTTTCTCATTTGGCCTTCCAAATTTTCCGCACGTGACTCATTTTGACAGAAGTTTTAATAGAGTTGACGAAAAGAACATGTTTTGATGAGTCAAAAGGATCAATGATCACATATTTTCAATGATGAATTATTACTTCAATTAGGTTAATATTAAAAAGTATTATTTTGATTGAGTTAAAGTTAAAGAATAATTTTTATCATTTCCTTGAAAAAAAAAAACCTCTTTCTTTTCCGAAAAATTCGATCCAAAGTTTTGTTGGATCAAAGGTGTGAAACTCAAAGGCACAGACAGTCGCGCAAAACACAAGAGAGTGAAAGAGGATGGGAATCTCGGCCTCAAAGCGAGTCAAATCCTCGCTATCCAACTCGCCCGCCTTCGACTCGGCCTGCGACTCGGCCTTCACTCACTGCCTCTCCCTAACCGAGCACGCTTTCGACGGCGTCTTCCCCTACCAGCTCCCCACAGCCTCCGATCACCTCCACAAAACCCTCCACACCCTCCACCCGCACCCTCTCATCCTCAACTGGGTCCCATCTCCCCCGACTCGCTCCCTTGTCGACTCCGCCCTCAAGGCCGTCACTCGTCCCGCCCACGCCCAAACTCTTGGGCCGGCCCAGTTCAAGCAGTGGGCAGTAGAGCTCTTCGCCGGCGCTGTCGTCGAGAATGCTGGGAAGGCCGTGATGTTTCGAGTTCCGATCGGCGTCGCCGGGATTGCTGGGATCGGGGCTGCGACTCGGTCCGGTAAAGACTTAGTTGGGGCCGTGATTGGCGTCTACTCACTCGGGGTTGCGACTTCGATCTTCCTGAGTTTGTCTGGATAGGGTACTTTGTAAAACTGAAATAATGGAATGCAATGGAATTGTCGATGCTAAGTATTATTCTTTCTAATTCTCGTTTCTTGAGCAATTATTAGCATGATTTGTGTATAATCCGAGCACCTTCTTCAACCATCAATATCTCGAGCGGTTTCATTCCTTCTGTGTAGCTCGAAAATGCGCATGTATCGTTAATCTAACCGATGATTCCACCCACGATATTGCTTGCCATAATCTCAGCACGCGTGTTGTTACTTCTAACCCGGCAATATTGGTTGGAGCGCATGTTAATGTTCTGCGCTTGAATTTAACTGGGGCAACGAGTGACATACCGATCACTGTCTTTGTTTTATGGTGTTACGGTGATTGCATTTACTTAAACTGATACAGTTTGAAACTGCAGCTTATTGGAATCATTTAGATCGGAGCACATTGCCGGAAATGTATCAGTTTAAGTAAATGGAACAAGAATTCCTACCCTGTAAGAAACAAGGACAAACTGGATTAGTAAGTTAAAGCATGAAGACGGCTTCCACATGCGAACAGTAGTGTTAGTTCACAAGATAGACCGCACAGAGCGTATCTCTCTTGCTCGTAATTTGCATGTATCCAACTCTATCGATAAGCTTTGACGAGAGTATTGAGAGATTATTGCCTCTACTCCGATGAACATTAGCAACAAGATACGAATTTCTGGGCCTGTTGAAACGATCAACGCATTTTGGTTTAGTATCAGTCAAGGCAATGCGATCTCCGACCTGTGGCACATATGTTCCTACCATAGTTTCCGGATACGGTGAAAGTGCATCCGAGTTCCTCAACAGGTGGAGGAATGAAAGACTTGTAACTCGTCACAGTTGAAAGAGCATCCGAGTTCCTCAACAGGTGGACACACAGTGCAAATTAACCTGATTTTGGTGAAGATGTGGATTGAGAACATCCTCAAGTGACCAAGAGAAGACGACATTCATTAAGCCTCGACCTGCTGTAACTTCATAATTGTTCAACTTGCTAGTCTCCTCCTGACGATCCATTACGTTACGTATAGACTGATCGAACCAATGTGTCCATCCACTCAAAGGGGAAAACACTTGGTCAGAATATTAATACGGCTACAAACTGATGGAGTTTAGAACTGCAGCTTTTTGGGAATCATTTAGATCAGAGCACATTTCTGGCCATTTAGTCGAAAGGGAATGGAAGCATTTTACTTTAGAGAAGCAAATTGTACAAGAACTCCCCACCCTGTAAGATGCATAAGAAGGTTTAATGCACGTGTGTCGAAGGAATGATAGAAGATTGGGTTGCAGTTGCAACACATTCTCAATTAGATTTCTGTTTGCGTCATCTGAATTCAAGGGCTTTCCATACACGAACATCTGTTGCCATGTTCATCAAATAGACAGCAAACATTGTTTCCGTCTTGCCCTTCATTTGCTTGTATCCTTCTCCGCCGATTGGTTTTGATGACAGGATAAGGCTCCCCTTCGAATGTCATCTTTTGACCCGACAACATAAGCAATCAGATAAAAATTTCTAGGCCTGTTCAAATCATCAACGCAATTTGGTCTAGCATCGGTCAAGGCAATGATATCTCCTGCCTCCGGCTCATATTATCCTACGTAACTAGTTTCAGCTTCTCTCATTTTCCTAAATGTAATTTCATAAAAAAAGTCTTTGGGTGGCTTGTGGTCCTAAGTCGTTTCAGCAGTCGAAATCTCACAAGCAGGCGCCCGGGACAGAGACATGCTTGAACGTAAATCAGCATGTGTTTCTTCGATAAGTGCAGGAATGAACGATTTCATGTAACCCTTCACTGTTGAGAACATCCCGAAGAGACCAAGAGAAGACCAAACCGATGAAGCTTGTACCGGTAACTCCTTCCTTCTTCACATTAGCCTCCTCCTCACGATCCATTAACTACGCACTTAAGAGTTCTTCCGGTATATATTCTTGTTTCGCGCACTGGCAGTGATTACTTGTGTGTTTGCAGATGCAGTACTGCTGTCTAGCTACCACTTTATGCAAATTTGTAATTAGTTTGAGCTCTTGGATTTCCCATTCCCAGTTGAAGTTCTTAAAGATCAGTCCATGAAAAATATCCAATTTAGGGGGAGGGAGGGAGACTTTATCGCATTGCACCCTTCTTATTTATGCATCATCCATATTCCATATACTATATCTACCTTGGTTTCCATTTGCCCCCAAATTCCAATAGAGAAATTTTTATGTGCATCCCGAATGCATCGTATATCACGTGTCATAATATGCATCCCGAGTTGTCTCATCTGAACAATTTTAGTTTTTCCTTTATTTAGAGCATAGACAGTTTAGTAATTATACTAGTTTTAATTCCAATTCAGACATATTTGGTAAACAACTTTAATGGAATCATCATCATTCCTACTCCGATTCTAAATAGTTTAGTAAACAACCTCCATAAAAATTCGATTCTAATTCCTTATCAATCCAACTCTTCCTCAATTCAATTCCTCTCAGTTACGAATTAGGAAACGTGTTATAAGTGTAAAGTGACAATCACTCTGCCCTAACCACCAAACCTCACACAAACTAGCATTTAGTCCAACCTAGACGTTTTTAAGCTTAAAAATTAAAAAGAGCATTATTCACTTACGAAATTATTCGATTAATTTTGGTTTTTTATATTAGCACCCCATAAAATGTTGAATGTACCCCACATTAAATTTAATATTAATGACTAATTTACTCTACTATGTAATGACAATTTTGACCTTATTAGGTTTAAAAAATAATAAAAAATTTATAAATACATCCCAAATCACTTTTAACATATTATTTATCTATTTCAACTATCAAAACCCCTCCCATTCTCCATTGTTGAATAAAACCCTAAGCAATGAAACTACAAACATGTTGATTGAGAAAAATAATTTTTGACGAATGGAACACGAAATCGGTGTTTCGAAAGCTTTGAAATCATTATTATTGTTATTGAAAAATGTTCAAATGAACCTAAACATTTTTTGAAATCATTCAATTTGAAATCATTCGGCAAACTAACGTTCAGATAGTTTGAAATCATTCGGCAAAATAAAAAATGAGTGTTATACGATTTGAGAAATGTGGGGGTGTGTAGAAAATATAAGGTGTATATTAAGAATGTGGGGTGTGAGGGTGTTATGGGGAAGGAAGTGAGGTGTATTAAGATAATTTTTAATTGAAAAAGTAAATGTGGGGTATATTAAGTATGTGGGGTTTATTCAACAATTTGTGGGGTGCTAATATAATAAGCCTTAATTTTTTATTTCAATACAAGCGATATTTCTATTTTAAACTTATGGAAAGGGGAGGGTTTTAACCCAAAACGCATTGGGTTGAGCAGATTGACCCTAATCACCAAAACAATCCAACTTGCTAATCACTTCCCTTAGCCACCTAAAGGTTGAAGTACTTGTATTAATAAAAGGGGCATCATTTGTTTTCCTATCTTGCACTTCCGCATTCATGTGCAGGTGCAGGACAGGACTCAGGAGTGCATATAACACCTAACAATAACATCACGGCAAACTTATCAACTCGTCCATAAGCATAACATCGAAATTCCGAAAACACAGAAAGTGAGAGGAAGAGGCAAATAAAACCTTAAACAGAAAATCCAAAGCACAACCATAACATTCTCAGAATAAACCGTATCAGAAACGGTGCTTAAATCCGTCTTTAGGTACTCACACGCCAACGAGACAACATCACTTCATACAATAAGAGTGCCAGCCATAGGCATTAATAATATCAAGGAACAAATTGTGTTTCAAAAGATACTTGGATTCACCCAAAGATCAACAAGTTTCACTTTCGGTGCTCATCCAGTTCTCTTGATGATATGGACACCACTATCCGTATCCACAATGTCACTCATCTCACCAACCTTGAGAGCAAATGTTGCTTCTTCAAAAGGCTTCTGCATCTGGTTCCGACCAAAGGGCCCTGCAACCACAATTTGACATACATTTCAACAATGCCCGTACCATGTAATTATTAACGGAATCTTATTCATGATGAGGCGTTATTGTCAAGTTATATTCACTAACAAAAACTCATCAAAACAAGGCTTATTTGAGGAATCAAAGTCAAACTTCTCATGCAAATATAGACATTTTTGGAAATTAATCTCCTTCCATTCTAAGCAAGTCACCTAGGAGAGAGAGGAAATATCACTAGTACAAACCCACATTTATATGTTACTTGAAAAAAAATATTTCACTTTTAATCGATTTCTAATTAAGTGAATGACATTTATTTGCTGAAGTTGAAGTTAAAACAATAAATAATTTAACAAAAACATATACTAAAATGTTGGGTAATTCTAACAAGCTTGCACAAATCGGTGCGAAGGCAGAAGGCTTTTGGGGGAGGAAAAAATTCAATGGAACACGGAGGGATGGGAATTTTTTTGGGTGTTCCAGTTGGAAAGAGTACTTGGACTTGTGATGACTTTAAAGTGGAGACATGGAAGTTTCATGGGGTAACACAAGTTTTTGGACGGTTACTTAGGGCTTTGTTTCTTCGGGGTATCGGATCAATTTTAAGCTAGAAAGCTGTTCGGACCTAGATAAGTTGTTGGATAGCTAAAGCTTTTTATTGCAATTATTTGTGGCCAATCAAATTATGCTTGTTAAATAACAATTGTAACTACTTTGGCAAATCAAATTACGCTTCTTTCCAAATAAGAAAATCGAATAAACAAAAGCAGCTCATATTTCAGATACCAAACGCTACAATTTTTCTGTTTTGGAATTTCCATATGTTGATTCCCTTATCTGGGGTAGTTTCTAAGGTCAAAACACAAATGCGGACATAAAACCCTAAATATGAACTTTGTGAAGTTAAGTGCTAACCGAGATCGCCACCACGTTTGGCAGAGCTGCAATCAGAGTAGCGAGCGGCAAGATCATCAAACTTGGCCTTTCCAGAAAGGATGTCATCGCGGAGAGCCTTGAGTTGAGAGACGGCAGAGTCTCGGGTGGTGTTCCTGATGATCTGCCCTTCAGGATCCTTCCACGATGCCTTTCTTCTCGACCCCTGATGCTTGAT